GGGGAGCTCTTCGAGGGGCACGTCTGTCAAGTTGTAGTCCTCTGGCCGCTCCTGGTAGGAATGGTGGAACGCTTCGTGCGGCAACATGATCGGGAATTGCATCTTCGTGCGCCGTTCAGCATCACTGTCCCGAACGGGGATGGTAGTTGCATGGAAGCGCCCCCTGGCTTGGGCACGGACTGCATTTCTCAAGTGGCCTGCGTGGTGGTTCGACGCCTGGGCGGGGTCCAGCGCCAGGTCCCCGACGCCCACGCTGCCAGCGCGCCGCGCGTGCCACGCGATCGTGCACACATCCTCCCCGAACAATTTAACCCTGAGATCGCATGCGTGGGAAATCAAAACCTCGTAAACAAGCATGCGCGATCGGAGCAAATTCTTGCGCGGCATTTTTCAAGCTGGATCGAGCTGCGGGGGGCCAAGGCCCGAAACCTGTCGACAACGATACGTCTCGAAAAACATTGGGGCGCCAGGATCTCAGGGACATGCAACCCGATCGTCCTAGAATTCCTCGCTGAGAGTGGGGGCGGCGGGGGCCAGGCCGAATCCAAATGAGCAGTCAACGGGAACGTTCAGCGAGACTCATCTGGGAAGATCGGGCGCGCGTGAATTGTTCGAACCCCCTTTCCTTCGCCGCCAGCTTCCCCTCAGACCACCTTCCGAGAAGATAGCGCCGCAATCCGACGCCATTATCGCCCTGGGCGACATGGCAAGAAAACCGACTGCACCTCTCTATATCTCTAAAAGGCCGAGCTCCGAGGAAGCCCGTGCGAGGCGTCGCCCATCAGCGATCGACGCGCGCATTGGCGCAGCTCGGTTTCCCCCCAGGTTTCCTTTAGGCTCCAGTCTCCTCCATCCCCCTCCTTCTTCCACCCCCCCGTTCCCCCGTACCTTTCGCCGCCCCCCCATTCACGCCCCCCAAATCTCAATTCCATACTTCAGTGCAATCGCGTTGCAAGCCATCCGCCTCGACTTCCTGCGGCGCCCCCGCTGTCGACGTCGGCGCCGCGGATCCAAGCTCAAGCTCAGCGGCAGCAGCGCGGCCCGTCATCAAATGAGAATCGAGGAGGTCGATCACCCTGAGATCCGACGTCGCGAAAAATGCAACGCCGCTGGAAAACGCATCCAACATCATCACGACCGATCTGTAGGCACTCGAACGGCATCGATGGCCCACGGGCCCGAACTAGGGCCACCATGTCACGTTAACCATGCGACGTCAGGATCTCATGGGGACCTGTCAATGCAGCCCAAAAGCAAAGAAAACAATACCTCAGGGCTAGACCCTTAAGCTAGACGACTACGGACAATTGCAAATCTATCGTTTGGGGGGGGTGCTTTGATCAACCGGAAGCATGACGGGTTGACCTCCCAGCATTCTTATTCGAAGCATCTGCTTGGCCTCTCAATCTGAACTTGCAGACCAGCCGCCATTTCATCGCGCGCGACGGTCTGGCTGCATACCTGGAACGGGTCGGCCACGAGCAAACTGTATATACATGCCATGCAATTGTGAATCTGGCCAGCTGCTGACTGCCCCATCACTGCTCCACGTCTCCGTCACCGCGCCCCTCATCCTCCTCCGAACGGACTTTCCTCCTCCTCCCCCCCATCACCATCATCATCATCACCATCAGCATCATCAGTATCATCATCATCATCATCATCATCGTCATCATCAACATCATCGTCGTCGTTGTCGTCATCATCATCATCATCATGGGCAGCAGCATTATCATTGATTCAGCTCGCGTTCGAGAGCCCATCTCTCGAACTTATATCCGCACTTCAATGGCACCACGTGCCCGAAAAGTTGTCTGCTGAGGCAGCCGTGGGAGCTGGGAAACTGGAAGGACCTGCAACGCTGAGCTGGCAAACTGCGAGGGCTGGCAAGACTACGAATACGCGCGTGCAACATGCATTCACGTGAGGAACGGAACGGAGCGGGTCTTACGCGATATGGCATACAAACATTATAGGTTGCTTACGCGGGCCGCCAGCGCGGCGCGCCATGTTGGAGACGAGAACGCTTACATACGCGCGGACCTTACGCGGACAGCTTGTACTCAAATTTTTACGCAGTTCATTTGCACTCGCACGCGCGCGCATACGCAAGCAAGTGCGAGAGCGGTGATCGAGGGAGGGGGGGGGGGGGGGGTCTAGCTGCCGAGCTCTACTGCGACTGCGATTCGCCCAGGGCTTTCGTCGCCGAGGCAACCGTTGCCATCACTGGAGCAATCAAGCCCCACAGCCGCTTCGCCTCGCCGATGCGCGATCGGAGTCGGCAAAGCAACACACACGTAAAGAGCGCTGCGATCGACAGTCGATTCGTGTCACCGCACTCGGATCGGGCGACTTCGTGACAGCATCAATTCTCACGCGACTCCTATCCTCCTCCTCATCCTCCCCCTCCTCCCCCTCCTCCTCGCCTTCCTCGCCCTCCCTACTACTGCTCTTGCGCTCTCCCTCGGGGCCCGCCTCGCCCTCCCCACCGCCTTCCTTAATCCTTCTCCCCCTCCTTCCTCGAACCTCTCGTCGGCGGCCAGCGTGCCTCCTCGATCTCAGTTTTGATCACCTCGACGTCGGGCCCTGACCTGGCTGACAGGGGGCAGATCGAGATGACGGAGCAGGATCGAGCTCGAGGATGGTGCCCTGCACTCAAGCAATCCTCGCGGCCATGCTTGGTTAACGAATCCTCTGGCGCGTTGCTGTCGCATCACACCGAAACCAGCCTATCAGGCCGAGGAGGTTTGCGGTGCCCTTGGAGAAGGATGAGAGGAAGAGGAGAGGAGAGGGGGAGAGGTGGATACACATAAACATATGTAGGCAGGTGTGTCTGTACAAATATACGTCTATATATATATATATGGGTGAGGGACCTGTCTCGATGCAAAATCCACGGTCCCCCTCGACCGAACAATCGATCGAAGTCCTCCCCTCTGAACGGTTTTGCTGCTCATGATGTCATTCTTTCAACGGGCGCGGGGGCTGACTTCCCCTGGATCCCCGCGGCGAGGGCGGTCTTGTTGGCCGTGAGCTGCGACAGGGCCGCGTCCACTTGAGGCGCGAACGGCGACAGCCACGGCACGTTCTCCACCTACCCTACCCCGAGCACGGGCAGCATTGACCAGACGGGGCGGGAATAAAGAGCGGAGGGAAATATAGCACATCCGAGCACCACTCACGGTCAAGCGTGGTAGATCCCACGCGCGAGTAGGACACACAGATGGCCTCCAAGGAGGAGGAGGGGGGGGGGGAGCGGGAGGGAGGGGGAGGGGGATGAGGAGGAGGAGGAGGAGGAGGAGGAGGAGGAAGAGAAGGAGGAGGAGGAGGAGGAGGAGGAGGAGGAGGAGGAGCCCCCCCTCCCCACGTCGATGCCCTCGAGCTGGGCGTAGATCTTGCTGCACTCGCCGAGGAGCTCACCGTATGCGGCCGCCAGGCCTGTGGTCTTCATGATCTTGCGCGGCGGCTCCTGGCGCGCGGCAGCACGCATCAAAATGGGAAACCTCTCCGCCAGGATGCGAGACTCAGGAATGCATCAACGGGGAGGTGGGCACGACCGCGGGAGGAGGGACGACGGAATGCATGACAAGAACAGTGCACTCCACGCCAAGCCACCCCCCCCTCCTCCTCGATATATCGACTCCTCCTGGGCTCCACCCTGTCTCCCTCCCTATCCTTCCATATCACCCTTTTCCTTAGACCTATTATATAGCATATCATCTCCACTCAATTCCCCTACCCCCTCTGGGCTCCTTGCTCTCGCTGTCACTCGAGTACTCGGAGTAGCTGTCGTCGGAGTCATCGCACTTGTCCTCCGAACGCGGGAGGTGGGGGGAGGAGGGCAACGACGAGTGCGAGGAATGCAAAACAAGGGAAAGGGTGCAACCACTCCGACTCCTTATCTTTATCATGCGCTACTGCTTCGAACCCTGATCGTATTCACGTGATCGAAAACTGACGTGCCCACTCGAGCATGATACATACGCGCCCAAGCCCCAGCAATCCTTCGAGCTGGCGCCGACAACTTGGGAGGGGTCGACGCGGCCTGTGCCCACGCGGGTCTCGAGGATCTGCTTCTTGACCTCCAGCGGGCGGCCGATGTCGCAGCCATCCTTCCTCCTCTTCTCTTCTGGACTGGTCGTCATTGTCCCCCTCCTCATCCTCACCTTCCCCATCCTCCTCCAGGGGGCTATGAGGATGGTCGGGTGCACGTGCCCGAACTCGGCTCTTGTATGGGACCGTTATCATAGGGATCATGGGGTATCGTATCATTGTTCATAGGTACGTGCGGATACACACACACACGTATGTACATTCATATGTACATGTATACATATATACATATATACATGCATATATGTCGTTGTATACACACGCGCATATATCTACCTGGTTTTACACGGGCGTAGCTGCCTCCTTCTCTCCGCCTTCCTTCGAGAGGCGGCGGTAGAGCGTCTCGCCCGTCTGGGCGTCCTTGGTGGTGTGAGTGGCCTTGAGCTTCGTGCAATATCCTTTGATGGTCTCGGCCCGCTGCATGGCCCTGCGCGGCCGTGATGTTACGACATGCCCACCCTGAGATCCGTCGACGTCGAGATCCCACCGTGTTTCAATGCTTTCGAGATCTCGAAAGCATTGAAACACAGTGAGACATCACGACCCGAGCCCTATATAGGCCCCATCTCTCTACGTCGTTGTTCCAGCTCTAGCTGGATCGATCTGCGATGGCACCGTGACCCGAAACTGGACGAACACGCCCGACTCAAACGCATGAGCCGTCATGATCTCAAGAAGGGTAGTGCCAGTATGCTGCAACGTCCGAGTTGCCGAACACCGAACTCACACTATTGCACATCCCTGATCCCCTCCTACCCCCTGATCCATCCTACCTTGATCCCCCCCCTGATTACACAACTCGTGTCCTCCATCCCTGATCCCCCCCTACCTTGATCCTCCCTATCCTCATGCCCACTGCGAGACTTCTCCGTCGTTGCGGGACAAGCCTCTCGCCAGTCGGAGTGGCCTTATTCTCCTCCGACCAGCCGCACTCGGCCAGCAGACGATCCCAATTGAACCATTGGTCCTTGTGCTTGGAGCTGGTCTCCCTGGACTCCAGCTCGGTCTTGACGCATTCGGCGAAGCGGAAGTCGCCCCCCCTCCCAGCGCCATCTCGAGGACCACTTTTCCCATGCATTCAGCGAAGCGGAAGGCGACTCTGTGACCGAATGCAGGCGCTCATGCTATGAACCCCCATCTCGAGAATCATAGGCTCTTTCATCTGACGACGCGCGATGGCACGATGAGGAGCGGGGCGGGGGGGGGCCCGAGGGGGAGCAAGATCTTGAATGAGGTGGCGCCCCGACGGGCGCCAATGGGGACGCATGGGGAAGGAGTGGAGGGACAAGGGCAAGATCCCGCCCAAGCTCCGTATTTGCGCCACTTCTTCAACCACCTCTTGAGGCCCTGGCGGCTCTGCCGCTTGTACTCGAGCTTCACTTCTTCTTTCTGGGATGCGAGGTGCGTCCTGCTGCAGCTGAGGGTTGCGAGGGGTGGGGGCGGAGCCGCTCAGGAATTCCGCCTGCGACGCGAATGGCACAGACATGGGATGCTGTATGTTTTTTTTAGGAACAGGACATACACATATACACATACACATACACAAATACAAATACATATACATATACATATACATATACATAAACATAGACATACACATATATACATTTACACGTATACATAAGCATACACGCATATATTCAGATCTGCATATGCATGCACTTCGATTTGTGCACATACACACATATATATACACATATAGATATGACAAAGCCTCGCACGCATGGTACCGGACGCACAACCGTGCATCACACACGCGAGGCGTCGGGGGCTGCGGTCCGCATGCGCTGCAAATCGTTCTCGTGGTCTTTGCTGACGGCACGCGCGACTTTCTTCTTTGCTTTCGCCGCAGCCTTCTCCGCGGCGGACTTCGGCGCAGCCCTCTTCGGCGGCATCGCCTCCCGTGGACCCATATCTATATATATGTATATATATACACCCCCTGAGATCCGACGGCGTTGTGCAACCATGGCCCTGGGCCCACTTTCCCACGCCATTTTTCGAGCCCGATCGATATGTGAGAGTCCTAGTGCCATCAGGCGGGGGCGATCGAGCCACGCCCAAGGGATGTTAACCTGCACCTCACTACTGTTCCGCAGCGGCAATATCCAGGTCGCGGGAGCTTGCGGCAATATCCAAGTCGGCAACGTGCACACAAGCAACACTCTATGCGAAGATGTGCAGGTCGGCAAAGGTGGGCCATCCAACATCCACACTTGTTTTCTGTTGCGTATATTTTGCAGCTGTGTACATGTGTATATATATGTATATAAAATAGCTGTATGTGCGTGGCTGCGCATACACATGAAACACACACACACACACGCCACGGGCGCTCGCCATGGCCCAGCGCAACTGCATGCATATGCAGGCACACACGCGCAACTAAACACATATTCATTATAATTACACGCACGCCATGTGGGCACTTGTGCAAGCACTCGCATATATACACACACGCACACCTAGTGGCGTATATACAGCTATATATAGGTGTGCTATATAGGTGCACACACGCGTTCGCGCGCAAATGCGAGGGCGGCACCGTGCTTGCACGCGGGCACACGCGCACTCACGTTTTCCCTCCAGCGGCCGAGTGACGTCGCTGCAACGGGCGCGGGCGCAGCTGCGCCCGCGCGCCCGCGCGGGCGCGCGCCTGGCAACGATATATTGCCAGGCGCGCGCGCACGCGCGCGCGCCCGCACAATGCGGCAATATCCAGGTCGGCTACGCGCCGTCCCATTTCGCCTGCTAGCCGCGTGACGACGCATATATCTGCATCGCGGTCCATCGGCGCGCGCGGGCCGCGCGCGCGCCCATCCTGCCGCGGGTCGGCCGCGCGCCGCCGACGTCGCCGCCCCGCGGCGCCTGCGCGCGGCCGCGCACGGGCCGCGCGCGGCGCCCGCCCCGCGGCTCCGCGCCGCGCGCCCGCGCGGGCGCACCCCCCCCCCCCGCCCGAGCCCGCGGCCCACCGCGCCCCGATGCGCCCGCGCGTCAGCGTCGCCACGACCCGCCGCCGCACCCCCCCCCCGCGCTCGCGCGCGCGCACGGGTCGCCTCGCCCTTAAGGGCGAGCGGGCATCAAAGAACATTAAAGAACATTAAAGAACATTAAAGAACATTAAAGAACATTAAAGAACATTAAAGAACATTAAAGAACATTAAAGAACATTAAAGAACATTACATACAAGAACATTAAAGAACATTAAAGAACATTAAAGAACACTTAAGAACATTAAAGAACATTAAAGAACATTAAAAAGAACATTAAAGAACATTAAAGAACATTAAAGAACATTAAAGAGCACTAAAGAACATTAAAGAACATTAAAGAACATTAAAGAACATTAAAGAACATTAAAGCACATTAAAGAACATTAAAGAACATTACATACAAGAACATTAAAGAACATTAAAGAGCACTAAAGAACATTACAGAACATTAAAGAACAGTAAAGAACATTAAAGAACATTAAAGAACATTAAAGAACATTAAAGAATATTAAAGAACATTAAAGAACATTAAAGAACATTAAAGAACATTAAAGAACGTTAAAGAACATTAAAGAACATTAAAGAACATTAAAGAAAATTCAAGAACATTAAATAACATTACATACAAGAACATTAAAGAACATTAAAGAACATTAAAGAGCATTAAAGAACATTAAAGAACAGTAAAGAACATTAAAGAACATTAAAGAACATTAAAGAACATTAAAGAACATTAAAGAACATTACATACAAGAACATTAAAGAACATTAAAGAACATTAAAGAACATTAAAGAATATTAAAGAACATTAGAGAACATTAGAGAACTTTCGAGCCCGCGCAAAGGGGCGGGGGCTCGAACGCTCTGCAATGTTGCTGGCAGGCCAACCCCAGGCGGGGGGCGATGGCCGACCTCGCGGCACCGCTGGCCCGCGGGCGAGCGTCTGGGCACGCGCGCGGGGGCGTCGCGGGGGCGCTCGGGCGCCTCGGGCGCGTCGGATCCGCCGCGCGGAAGCAAGCGGGGGCTGCGCCTCCCCCGCTTGGATCTGCATGGCGCTCGACGCGCCCGAGGAGACCCAGCGCCCCCGCGACGCGCCCCCGCGCGCGTGCCCGACGCCAACCCGCGGGGCCATGGTGCAGGGCGGCCAGTCCACGCCCCCCCCCACCTCGAGGGCCTGCCAACGGGCGCCCCTATCAGGGGCGCCCAGTCGTGCTGCTGCGTTGTAAGTGTAGTAGAGAAGCCAAAGCACATATCGCCACCAGCACTGTCGACCACGGCGCCGAGCAAACCCAGGTGCACCTGGGCGGCGGGGGGGGGGGCGGTCTCTCGCTGCGCGCGTACATGCGCCCGCGCGCATGTGCCGATCGCGCGCGCTGCACGCACGCGCATACGCGCCTAGCGGTCGCGGCCCCGCGCGCGATCACGAGGCGGAGCAAGCCAGTCGCACCCCGACCAACCTGAGGATCGAGGGAGATATCGAGGAGGAGGGAGAGGATCCTCGAGGAGGAGAGGGGGAGGGAGGAGGAGGAGGAGGAGGAGGAGGAGGAGGAGGAGGAGCAGGAGAGGAGGGAGGAGGAGCGAGGAGGAGGGGAGGAGGAGGAGGAGGAGGAGGAGGAGGAGGAGGAGGAGGGAGGAGGGAGGAGAGGAGGAGAAGGAGGAGGAGGAAGGGGGGAGGTAGAGGGAGGGGGAGGGAGGGAGGAGGGAGGAGGGGGGAGGGAGGTAGGGAGGAGGAGGAGGAGGAGGGAGGCGGAGGAAGGAGGAGGAGGAGGAGGAGGAGGAGGCGGGAGGAGGGAGGAGGAGGAGGAGGAGGCCTCACGAGGAGGAGGAGGAGGAGGAGGATCGGAGGAGGAGGGAGAGGGGGAGGAAGAGGGAGGATCCTCGAGGAGGAGGCGGAGGAGGAGGAGGAACGGGAACGGGAACACATATAGAACATTAAAGGGCATTAAACTGACGAGTGTTGCGTACACGATGCATGTGCACGCACATGCGTGCACGAACCTGATATGTATATATATAGACACATAGATGCATATACACACATGTATCTACATATGTGTGTATATATGCACACATGTTGGTACTCGTATGCGTGTATATTTACGTTAGGTGTGCACCACCCATACATGCACATATATACATACGTATGCACCATCATGCTCTGATCATGTGCAGGCACCAACTCCTGCCCACAACTGTGCGCCCCGTTTCGCCTGCTGCCGCGGTGCGTCGGCTCCAGGGGCCCCGCGAGCGGGACTCGGCTCGAGGCTGCTCGATCTGGAAAGCGGCTACACAATGCAACCTGCACTCGCCGAACGTTGAACCACATGGTTGGACAGGACGCGCGACAGGACACAAGAGCCTTCTGAGGGCTACATTGCCACGGGGATCTGGGGGGGCATGGAACGCGAGGCACAGGACACAAGGGCACCCTTGCTTTGGCAGGGTCGACCTACTAATCTGGACCGATCGACTGCATACATCGTGGCCCTGCCGCCTCCCCCATCCCCACCCCACTTCGAATACCCATGCCTGCCTCCCCACATCCACGCTCATCCTCACCCCCAGTCGACGCCACTCCCACATGGAGGCCAGCAAGGTTCTGACCACTGCGATCGAAGCCAAGGTTGCAGACCCGCTCATGCGTATTTTGCGCCTGCATCGGCACGGAACGTTGGCAGCATGGAGCTGCGTGTCTGAGCTCTGATCCGCGAGGCGCGCCATCCTATACATATAGCACGTGCTGCAGTCGAATCCCAGCCCTGCCATTCATGGACCCATGCTGCCACCAGCAACCCCCTTGCCATCCACGCACGCCCTCGACCCCCCCGTGCCAGCGCAGGGGGCGCATGCTGCGGCCCGCTCACGCGTGCCTGCGGCCAAGAGGATTGAACACATGAAGAGTGGACAGCTGAGATCGAGACAGATGAGCGGAGCAAAAGGACTCTTCATCGCCGACCTCAGGGAAGACACATCGCACTGCAAAGTATCCATCGCTTCATCTCCCCCCCACTTCGGGCGAACAGATACAGCGTGGACTGCTCCCAAC